TGAGAGAAACAGAGCTGGCAGACAACAGGATGACCTGTTTATGGATCTAACTGGAGTCCTAAATTGAATAGTAGAGTCCACACCTGCTTTAGTGAAAGTAGGACCAGACATCTGCAGACAGGCAGACAGCAATGTCAAAAGCAAGTTCCGGTGGCAAAGCTAAGGATACGCAGTTGGAAAGTGTCCTTGTCAGTGGCAGGGTTGAGAGCTGTGGCAAAGCAGCTGTTGACCCTGCACTTGGGATTAGCCACTTCCAAGAGTATGGTTAACAAACCCACTGGGCTGCGTGGAATATTGCAGGAGCCACTAGGCCAGTGGTTCTCAATCTGTGGGTCGCGACCCCTTTGGCGGTCAAATGACCCTTTTACAGGGGTCGCCTAAGACCATCTTGCATATCAGATATTTACATTACGATTCATAACAGTAGCAAGATTACAGTTATGAAGTAGCAATGAAAATAATTTTATGGTTGGGTCACAACATGAGGAACTGTATTTAAAAGGCCAGAAGGTTGAGAACCACTGAACTAAATGGTAGCAAGGAGGAATCTAGAAGTACTATTATAATTGGTATAAAGGAAAGGCAATAGAAAATAAGTGAATTAATAATGAATTTAAAATCTAGTGATAAATAATATAAGATATAGATAGAAAAAGTAAGATAAAAAAATGAGAAAAACTAAGGAATATTAATAATAATAATAATAGACAAAAGTAGAATAGAATCAATGTGAAGAGAAAAATTAGGGATATGCAAGAAAAAGAGAAGAAAAAAGGGAAAAATAAAAAACCCCACTCACACACACAGATAGAAAATCATAATTGCACACACTCACAGACTGAAAAACCATTGGGTCTGCTATTTGTGGAGCTCACTGGATTTTGCTCTGATATTGTTGAGTCTGGTCCCTGGTGTGTCTATTCTGGGCCGCTTGGAAGCTTCTCTGGTGCAGGTAAGTGTGAGTCACTGTCACTTTCTGGCCCTGGGCAGCCTGATTGAGGCCTGAGATGTTGAAGCCCCTAGTAGTCCAGTGGGCGGGGACTCCTTAGCCCAGAGGCTGGGCTGCCTTGAGTCTCACAACATGATTGTCCCTGTTCTGAGCTGCACTCCCTTCCCTTCCCCCATAGAGCTGGGCTCTGCGGCGGTAGCCTGGTCTTGGCTGGGGTG